GATGTAATGGCGTCTGCTTTTATGAATGAATCGAATATGCTTTTTGAAAGTACGTTTGCGTACATGAATGAAAATTTTGTTGTTGTGTAATTTACTAAAAATTTTGACGTCGTCAATTTTCAATTGATTTCTGATGCTATTTCAGACGATTGTTGTTTTTGTAAACAGTATTTGTAATTTTTGCGGGAAACATATTTACATGTGTACCCACCCATATAATTATGTATGATGATGTTTAAGACGATTGTTGTTTTTGTAGAATAATATTTGAAGTTTTCGCGGGCGACATACATGTACTGTACATGTACAGATATGTTTATACGTAGGTTTGTGTACATATTATTTGTGTAGCAATGTCATACGCACATATGTATGCATATGTGTATTTACAGGTAGAGCAGCGCGCGCATATTATTTCACTGATAAATGATAATATCTTGATTTGAAATTGATTTGTACTTACATTTGTATGTACATAGATATCTGCAGGAAAGATGCGTATGAAAGTGTTAAATGATAAAAGTGTGATTTATACGTATATATTATTGTTGTAATATACTAAGTTTTTTAAGATATTATGATAATATATCATATATGTAGCAAATATGTATATGCATACATATGAAATTATATTACATTATCAAAGATAAGAAATATTTAAAAAGTAGCTCATTCGCCCATTAATTACAAAAATTGCTTGGAGAATTGCATAAATTAAAAATAATGTTATCAATTTGCGTGAATTCATAAAAATTCGCAAAATCATATTCATATATTGATATGATAGCATGTAAACGTATAAAAATATAAGCCAAAAGGCTAACATGCGTCTGTAAACGCAATGTATATTTCAGAGCATAATTTTCATTGAGTTCTCAGCTCTGTTCACTCATGTATGTTAAAGTTTCTCCCGCCGAGCCAAAAGTGGTGAAATCCACTAATAGAAAATTCATGGCTCTTGACAGTTCACACGCTTGTCCGTAGTTGAAYCTTCTCTATAAATGTRCGTTCTCTATACCCACTCAAGTTTTGTCAAAATAAGTTTACTTGGACTGSTACTCTTTTTAAACTTTTAAAAATTATTAAATTACTTATTTATTGTTTAATATTTAACTTAGAAAAATTTACAATAAATAATTATATATATATATTTTTTTAATTTCTTCTCGTTACAGGTGAGTCTGTTTGTTCGGGAATTGAGGTTGAAATTGAAAATAATAACAATTTCTCTCATGGTAAGCTTTTTCATTATTCATTAACTACCATTACAACCGACTTTCATCTGCCTACAAAATTTTGAATTTGAAATTGAAAAACCAAAAACCAAAACAATTAATGCTTTAATTTTGATTTAACACGAACCGTTTTTAATATGCCGTTTATTGGAGCTTCCGCCTTTTTTACCTACAAAAATTGTTTACACTTTTCTTTGGCTTTTTATACTCTTATTTACCCAAATTAATCTCGTATTATTTGTTAATAAGTATAAATACTCTTTTCTCGATCTCGATCCTTCGGCGTTGCGTAATTCATCATTGTAATACAGGCGCAGTCAGACTGCATTAGGAATTAAATATTTGTAAATKAAAATAATACAAGTCTACTAAAAAACGTGTATTTAACAGTTCCAAAAATTTTCACAAGTTCATAACTTTTTTCTTGCGATTAGGGCGCATTTCTGTTGAATATGCTTAGCAGAGTCACCAAGTCTTGGAAATTAGCTGAAAGTAGCGCATCGCTGTTTTATAACTGTAAAGGAATTTATTRCATTCACATAATCTCTAAAACATTGCTTCTCCCATTAAAGCTTAGCCGTGTTCTTGGTGGCACCATTTTCCATATACATATATAACGCGATTACATTCCATTAYTGCGCWTGCCATGTTTACTGGTAGCTAAGCSACTTTTATCCTTTTGCATAGATCAGGATTTCTGTCTAATGATTTCCATATCCCCGGAGTTAAATATAAATTTCAACGCCAGACTTCGGGTTGGCTCTGACAATGCCTCTACAAGTCTTCAACAAAATCGTGTAATAAATAGTTTTTATTGCGGCACTAATAWCAGCTTTCCTTGTATTTACCACTACAACAATAACAAATTAATAACAATTGGTGAAAATCATTCATTCTCATTTGTCAAGCATTTCATTCTCATTGAGCATTGTTTGCGTTTCTCATCGATGCTCGTTTGCTCATTCGCTCGCCATTTCATTTCAATTCTCCTCATGCTATTTTGATGCAGCACAAAGACCATATACTGCGCCACCCACTCATTTGTCGCAACATTTCAGCACAGCTCGGCAAGTAGGCAAAAACYGCAAGCAAAAACGAATCATCTAATACTTACTCATTTGAAGTGAAAGAGAGCGCAACTGTTATTATTTTTAATTTTAAATCCTCTTCTGTGTATGTAACGATTTATTAATTAAATACATTTATATATAACTATATATCTGTATATWTACAATATATAGATAATTATGTGTTTCAAAAGTAAACTGCTTATATGTACTTAWGTATGTAATGCCTGCAACCAAAGCCGAAGTACACGCGCTAAGTGTATTTCGTGGCGGTTATGTAAAAACAAATATTAATAATTTTGTAAAAGGCAAATTACACAACCAACACTGTCAGCTCAAACATTTTATTAATGCACCACGGTGCTTTCCATTTTTTTCCGTCTCTTTCTACGTAACGCTTTGTCTCGTTTCACGCACACATTCGCGCGCGCAGGCGACTCTTCCTACCACATGAAGATCCTAGTGCCTGCCGTGGCCTCCGGTGCCATCATAGGCAAGGGCGGCGAGACAATCGCCTCTTTGCAGAAAGACTCAGGTGCTAGAGTTAAGATGTCCAAGTCGCACGACTTCTATCCAGGTAATAAGCTTGTCTCTCAATTGCACTTGAACATATTACAAATGTTTTCTCTCTCTCTCTCTATGCGTGTAGGTACTACGGAGCGCGTTTGCCTCATTACCGGCTCCGTGGATGGCATTATGTCGGTTATGGACTTCATTATGGATAAAATACGTGAGAAGCCCGATCTTACCACTAAGATTATTGATACTGACTCCAAACAGAATCAGGATCGTGATAAGCAGGTGAAAATTTTGGTGCCCAATTCAACGGCTGGTATGATCATCGGCAAGGGTGGTGCTTTCATCAAGCAAATCAAGGAGGAGAGCGGCTCGTATGTGCAGATTTCACAGAAACCAAAGGATATATCGTTGCAGGAACGTTGCATTACCATTATTGGCGATAAGGAGAACAATAAGGCCGCCTGCAAGATGATACTGTCCAAGATTGTTGAGGATCCACAGTCCGGTACATGCCTTAATGTCTCATATGCCGATATTAGTGGCCCAGTTGCCAATTTCAATCCAACTGGCTCACCGTATGCCACCAACCAGAATGCCATAAATACGAGTACCGCTTCGTTGAACTCGACTTTGGGTCAGAATATTGGCGGTGCAGCTACAGCTGCGGGTCTTTTAATAAACGGTACCGGTATTAATTTATCGCTAAACCTGAGCTCACCCAACCCAGCCCCGAACTTGGCGGTGGCCACACAATTGCTTGAACACATYAAGGTAATTGCTTGCTTACGCTTGTGTTTGGTTGAACAATTTAACCTTAACATTTACCATTTAGGTTGCACTACGCGGCTCCGGCTACTCAGAAACCGCTACCAACGAAGTGTGCGCCGCACTTGGCGTACTCGCCAAATATGGCGTTTTGGGCATGGGCGTCGGTGTACCGCATGCCAATGGCACCACCACACTCGGCAGTTTTCTGGGTGTTACGACGTTGGATCAGCAGACAGCTGCCGCCGCTTCAGCAGCTACTGCCAGTAATGTTTTCGGTGCTGTGGGTCAAGTTAATTTGGAACARTATACAGCGGCAGCGGCTGCTGCTGCTGCAGCAGCTGCCAGCCGTCCGACGCAGTCGCAACTAGAAGCGGCCGCCGCCGCGCAATTCGACCCTTTCCGTCATTTGAGCACATCAGCCACAGCGGCACAGGCCACCACACCGGTTTCGCTGAATAACAACAGTTTCGGTTTGACTGCGGCCACCGGTACTACGTGCACAACGGCGCAGAGCCTGAGCGCCGCAACGCATACGCTTAGCGGCTTGAGCAAGAGTCCCACACCGGGCGACCTGGGTGCTAAGGATACCAAAAATGTTGAAATTCCAGAAGTGATTGTTGGCGCTATCTTAGGTGGGCCACGCTTTTATTATCCCTACTAAAAAAAACAACCCCTAAACCAAAACATAGTCGGTGAAATCACGCGAAAACCATACGAAGCCTAAATGCTACACACAGACACAGTTAAAATGTTTAATGTTCCCACACTTATAATTTGTGCGAGCGCCAAAAACCGTTTGCCTAATTTATGTTGCGCCTAAAACTATGCTGCTCAAATAGCAAGCGCATTGGAGTAATTTTCTAAAATACTTTTAACATCTGCTAACAGTTTAAACGTTGTATTATTTCAATTAGTTATTGTTGCATATATGTTGCGTAACTATATCCTAACCAACACAAGCATACGTAGTTTGCCGCGTGCGCCGAAGCTTACTTACTTGTTTAGTTGAGAATCACACCACTAAGTTTGATATGTACGTTTTGGTTATTACGTGGTGCGGTGCAATTATAATCCACCTAATTTTCGATTGCAAAACATCGGAAGGTTTTATGATATTTTAGTTTTGTACTTGTAATATTTTATTGCCATAGAAACAGTGGTAAAAAAAAGTCATCTGCAGTGGATTTCGTATGGCAAGGGCGCTGTAAACGTAATTGTACCAGAAACCTAAAAAAAAAGCGAAACCTTGCTTTTTCTAATTATTACATCCATTACTATTTTTATTCCATTAGAAAATATATCTTTCGCAAAAATAAAATTTTTTAATTTTCACTTTTTTTCTTGCCACTTTACAGTCTAATGTCATGAAGTGATAGTTTGAGCGCCATTGTAGCAAATGTACGAAGTCCACTGCGGTCTTTATTCATCGCCGATCATATAAGCAATTAATTAGAATCTTTTCCACTTAATTCTTATCATTACATGCTATTAAAGAGCAATATCTTCTTCAAAAAGAAAAMCACCTTATTTTGTCGCTATGTACATATATACATTTGATTTCTTTTCAAATTCCATTCTCCATAAATGTCAATATGAGCGTGCTGTTATACATWTCTACGTACATTCCAACACCTGTAGTTTCTAAAAATATATACATACATATTTGTTAATAGACACACATTTGATTTTTGTTTTTGAGATACTCTATATTTTGTTTGTATTATCTAGTCAAGTTCTTGCCGCAAACATTTGCTTTCCTTCGCTTATCACAAACTRAAAATTCTCAAAGCAAAAAATCTCAAGCAAACCACATACCCAATACATAAGCAGACAAGCTCAGCCAACGAGAGTCTTAAGCAAACAAGTGCACACCCACCTGCTGAATCGAAGATGTGCGAAAGTACATACACAAACATTATGTGTAGCGATGTAACTGTGATTTCGTATACGCACCTGCACCCTGCGCACCTCTTACACGAATCATTCAATACAAGCACGCTTACAAATTACACGCACATAAAGTCAGCCATATGATAAAASCTTAGGTCTATTGTGCCTTCAGCCTTACAGTTGAGAGCATTATGTTCATAACAGTAGATACTTTTGTGCAGCTTCATGCCCAATTCATCAAAAAAACAAAAAGGTCGATAAAGTTTTTCCTCACCTCTTTAAAATCAATCTGGTACCCACAGCGGATATCAAGTTACAGTTAGCGTTCCAGATTTCTTCTCMTAATAGAGCTTTTAAGCTGCAATCCTTACACAAAAATCGCCAAAATCACTGTTATTTCACTCCAGCTGGTGTATCAACCCACGACAGGCTAAACTTTGTGTCCAAAGTTTTCACAAGACTTTCTTACACCGACACATACATATACATTTGCACACATTATAAAAGCATTCCTTGAATTGACCAGCGTAGCTTTACGCTTTTCTTAATCGCCTGCACCTCGACATTCCCGTCTTACTAGCACTAGCGCAGACATTCTAGCATAAATGACAGAGTGCGTCGCATTGGCTGTGCAACCAATTATCCTTGTACGGTGCTTTATCTAGTGATTAGTGCCACAAAACGCACGCACTCCATGTGTACATACACCGAACTCCAACTACACGAGCATACTCACACATAACGTGTATGCACATATCTTATTTACATATGTACATATATGGTATATTATATTACTTGTATATTATAATTGACATAGAAAGACATAAGATAAAAGTCATTTTTTGTTTGTTTTTTTTTTCAACTTTTTTTAAACGCAAACAAAAATCCTTATTTTATAGATGCTTATATAGGCGTAGGTATATTTGTTGTTATGAAGGGTTTGGCTTTTTGTTATACATACATACAAACATTTATTTACATATAATTCATATATAGTTATAGGTTTTAATATTTAGTAAAGTGCCTTACAAATGCACCAACCGTGCAGCGCTCACGCTACCAAACTGAATGGTGTAATCACACACAAATTTGGTAAAACTTCATATATACTATATAAATTTCGTGTGATTATTTGTTCGTAAAGCAGCTGTGAGCGCCGCGGTTACATGTGCTAAATATATATTTTGTAAACCATATCAATTTTTCACTTATCAATTAACCCTTGGTTATGTACCTATTGTTGATAAGATTAGCTATATGTATTAGATTAGTTTTAGTTTCTTCATGCGAAACTTCACGTTTGAACTCAAGACAGCTGCAAAACTGATAACGCTGATAGCAAGTGAAAGCTTTTCTSGTAGACGAAAAAATTTTCATTCAARGTTATAAAAAATAATAATTTTTAACACCGTTTAAACCATTTCTTCGAGARAAATATTCTCTCTAAAATATGCTTAGAATTGAGGAATAATTAGAAATATAGAGACAAAAATCTTCACAATTTCTACACATTTTTGCATATAATTGTTKTAGAGAGCTTTTAAAGAGCTTGCACTTTCTGAATCAATTGCAAAGAAACTACTCCTTCTATTTTCTTGGCTTTGATAATTACTTATGCCTTTATTGGTGTAAGCCGAGTTGACTAAATTGCAAGCTTTTAAAGAGCTTTAATTTTTGGCATCCATTGCAAAAAAGCTTTTGCATTTATTTTCTTTGCCATAACAATTATCTATGCTTTCATTAGTGTAAGCCAAGGTGGCTGAATTGTGAGCTTGTACAGAGCTTTCACTTTCGAAATCAATTGCCAAGAAGCTTTTGCTTCATTTTTCTTCGACATGCTTTCATTAGTGTTAGCCGAATTGGCTCAGCTTTTAAAGAGCTTTCACTCTCCGCAWTATTAGTGTAAGTCGAGTTGGCTAAATTGTTGAGCTTTCACAGCAGAAATTTCAAACACGCAAARTTATACGAACCSTTAATTTTMTGGTGTAAACAGCCTAAGCAGCGTAAATACCTCATAATATAMAAATTCTTAATTCGKTAGTACTCTTTCTTCCATTTTCKTTGTACATAGACAAGTACATATATRCATATAAGAAGTAAKCTATATAATTACAATTAYATACAGAAATACACAGCTATTTTTAGCGTAGAGCAATATTTATAAGCAGCTAGATATGCTTATAATAATTCTAAGCTAATTATTTTGGCTAACACGCAAAGAATTTCTAACTTAAAATTATGCCTTACTAATATGTGAATTTATTTTAGCTTAGCATATTGTTATGTAAACCACACTGCTTGAATTTATGTTATTTGTAGACTTCTTAGTAGTTGCCTAACCTCAAACATTTCGTTTTCACTTTATTTTAAAAACTTATATTATATATACGTACGTACATATATTTTYAGATTTTATTAACTGTTACTTAGTACCGTTTAGTTGCAAATCACTTTTAACYACACCTTAATTTAACAGTTATGAGTTTTGAGTTGAGCAACTGTACCCTCTATGTATGTAAATATTCCTCTTATGTATATTACTACAACAACAATACATACATATTATCTATGTATTTAAACCATATAGTGACAATGTACTTGTTTATGCTAATGTGTATAAAAATCTATTATAATGGAACATTAAAATTACAGGTCCAAATGGTCGTAGTTTAGTTGAAATTCAACATGTTTCTGGCGCAAATGTGCAAATTTCAAAAAAGGGCATATTCGCACCGGGCACAAGAAATCGAATTGTAACAATAACTGGTCAGCCGAATGCCATTGCCAAAGCGCAATATTTAATTGAACAGAAAATCACCGACGAGGAGACGAAGAGAGCGCGACAAATTCCACTAACCACTGTTGTGAATTAAAGCGAAAAACCATTTACACAAAATAAAAATTAAAAAAAAAAACAAGAAAAAAAAACATAATAATAATAACTAAAAAACAACAACATAAAATATAATCGAAAGAACATATTTTAAGAGACATTAAAAATAAAAACAAAAAGCCTATAATAATAATGCATACAGAAGATAGAAAAACAACAACCATAACCTTAAAATTAAAACGAAAAGTTATAAAATTATAAAATATGTAAATAGAAAAATATTAATTAAAATGCTGAAGACGAAAAATAGTTACAGTTGAGAATTCATACAGTTTAAAATTTACATCACAAATTTAGATGAAAGTTTTGAAAACACAAAAAAATTTGCAGTCAAAACCGCGAATGGTGGCAGCGTGCAAAAGCAACAAAACACAAACAAATTTTAAAATAAATAGCGAAATACAAAAAGMGAGCATTATAAATGAGAAGTGAGGAGAGAAGCGGCGCGCTGCGTATATTGTAATATATGAAAGTAGAGATTTTAAAGCAAGAAATTTAGGAACAATTTATATACCACATACGAAACCAAGCGMGCGCATAGCACTTCAGAGAACAATAACAAGCAAAACAAAAATAACAACTGAAGTAATTACATARTGCAGCCAGAGCGAAACAAACATATACACATACATATAGTGTAGCAAATAATTAGGCTGAGTTTTATTATAATTTTTAATAGCGAAAATTTAACTAATAAAAAGCATAAAAAAGAAAGTAACAACAAACAAAAACAAAAGCAAACATACACTGTTAAGTAATGTTCACTTCGTTGATTGTAGTTGGAAAAGTGCGAAATATTTACTTGCTGCAAAATAATTAAGCTAAAAGCAATTAAGTTAGCGCTAGTGAGAAGCAAAATGCAGGCAAGCAAAATACCTGAGCAGACACATACAAATACAAATATAAATACGTTTTTCACTTCCTGTAGTTAAAAGCGAATTATTTTCAGAATAAATTGCGTTTGGTAAAATTGAAATATAAAAGTAATAAGTAAATAAATTTTACACACCTTACTAGTTGTACGCTGCAGTAAAAACACGCCAGAAAGAGTTTCAAGAAAGGCACATTTGGGCACACACAAACCTATACACACGCACCTAAGCGGATTTGTGCTTTTGAAAAATATTTGCAAAATTTTTAAGATAATTTTATGGTTTGCTTTTTAAGTAAAAAGGTAGCTGAGAAGTATATGAGCCTAAAAAAATGAATTTTTTTTTTGTTTTAAATTAAATTAATTTTTTTAATGTACATTTTTTTAAAATTAATTTAAAATT